TCCTAGTTAAGCACTCCATATCCTCTTTTGTTTTTAGGTAGGTAAGGCAGGTTTTGTTCTGAGGTATCCAGTTGCTTTTAGTTTCCCCCCCCCCCATACCAGAATGGTTAGTGGAATTTCAAGAGGTCAAAAATACAACATTTACAAAAATATCTTAAGTCCCTTCTTAAAAGAACCCTACTTACTTTTAACAGATTTTTTAAAACTAATTGATTGGAAACACTTTTCACTATCTTTAAAAGGCACACAAGTATGGGTGCTGTCCAGGAGATGGGTGTCCTGGAACCATTACCAAGAAGGCCCCAGTTTCCTCTTGACCCCAAAGTCTGACACTTAAAATGACAGCCCACCTCTATTATATCCCTTACATTTTCAATCCAGTCTTCTCTGTCCTGTTTTAATGTTATGCTTAACTATAGCCATCCCAAGTTCACCTAAAGTTATGTTCCAATACTCATCTCAGAAACATTTTCAACCCAGGTTCTCAATTTGAGCATAAACATTTAAAAGCTGGTGATGGTCATTTGTACTCACAGTATGAAAAATTTACTTTTGGAGGACTATAGCTATATGACTCACTCTACCATCGTGGAAGCTATAGTAGTAGATGATGATGATGATGATGATGATTTTCCAAAACCAAGTGCAGTGAAACCAGGGGAACTCACACAAGAAAGGGGAGAAAGGTGTACATGGTCTTATGGGTTAGCCTTCCAATTCCTGGATCTCAATTAACTGTGGAGCAGGCCAGAGAATGGCCATCTTTTAACCATTTGTGGAAACAATGTGATAGAATATTGGATGGTCTCTGTTCTAGATAGCCTTTGTGGGCAACATTAATTTACATGGAATTTCCATCTAGGTAATAAGAAGTATGGGAAGCAATTGTGTAATATAATTTAGCATGGAGTGATGTGTAGGCATAAATAGGAGAGAATGAAGCTTTTCCTGTTTAAGATTGACCAGCCTACTGAGATGCATTTAAAGGAGAATTCAACAAAGAGATGTTCTATCAACCAGTTATAGATTCTGTATTAGCATCAATTGGTTTTGAAAACAAGCCAGATAACTTAAAACAGATTGCTGTCTGAAACCAGTATGCTACTCCATTAAGCTATTTTCGCTTAATTTTTTTTTTTTAAATGACGTGCTCCAGGACATTTCTCCTTCCCCACATTCTCTTTTTGTTTATTTTTTCTTCTCTTCTCTTCCCACCCTCACCCCCTTTCTTTCCTTTTTTTAGCTGTAAGAGTGCTGGAATTCTACACCTGCCAGTTCTGGCATTAATTTATGAGTTATTATTATACTGAGATGTACTATCATTGAGGCAGTCTGCCATCTGTAGCAGGTTTGGGGAAAAACGCTCCCAACCGTCTGTCATCCCAGGAGGACTGGAAGTCAGATTCTAGGCCAATTTCCCAGCCTTTCCTAGTGACATAATAAATATGATACTTTCAAATCCATCTCCTCCCTGCAACAGAAATATTCTGTGTATATCTGGAATTCATCATTCCCAAAGAAGGAACTTGAACACTATTGTAATCTTAAGATTGACAAAGAAAGTACATAGATTTTAAAACATTACTTTCAAAGCATATTTTTTAGAAATAAAAGCAACTGACTGGTTCAAAAATTGGTCGGAATTTTTTTTACAATTGAAAACATGTCTAACTCCCCCTCCCCATAGCCAGGGAAGCATAGGCATATAGATATAGATATAGATATAGATATAGATATAGATATAGATATAGATATAGATATAGATATAGATATAGATGTAGATGTAGATATAGATATACGGTAGATATAGATATAGATATATAGATTGAGAGAGAGAGAGCAAGATTGAATAAAATCTGGATATAAATGGACAAAGGAAACTGTGTGGCTTCAGTCAATGACAGGGGCAGGATAACAGTTCTTGCAAGCCATTTTTTATCCTAATCATGAAGTAAATATTCCTTAAAGATTGATTATAAAGGTAAATAAGGGGAAATATGTGCAGAGGGAGAGAGTGGGAAGGGAAATAGTTCCCTCTGTTTCCAAGAAGCAGATGCAAAAGCCACTGTTTTTGACTTTTAGGCAAGCTGGTGCCATCTATGCACAAGAGAGGCATTAGCAGTCCCAGGCAACCCTTCTATTTACAAAATAATTAAATAAATAAAATGTGGGGAAACACTTTGGGGGCAATCCTAATCACAGCACAATGGCTAAGTAATGCGAACCGCAGTGAAGGGGTAGGAATTGAAAACTAAAGGCCTAAGCAGACTGCCAGAAATAGTGCACATTAAATTGAGGCACTGCCCTGGCTCAGTGCTAGGGAATCATGGGAACTATATTTTTTTCTGAGACATTGAGCCTTCTCTGTCAGAGAGCTCTGGTGCTACAATAAATTACAGTTCCCATGATTCCCTAGCACTGAGCCAGGGCAGTGCCTCAATTTAATGTGCACTATTTCTGGCAGTCTGCTTAGGCCCTAAGAGCCCTTCCACTCTACACAATTGTAGTGCCATGATAAAACAGCTTCATTTATATACCACTTCATACCACACTATGGGGTGTCTAAGTGGTTTACAACTGTAAGCTCATTGCCCCCCAACAGTTGGGCACTCATTTTAGCGACCTCGGAAGGATGCAGGCCTGAGTCTAGCTTGAGCCGTGGCTAGTATTGAACTTGCAACCTTGTGGTCTGTGAGTGGCTGCAGGACAGGCATTTAACCACTGTGCCACCAGGGCTCCTAATTGATTTAACTGCCATGCCAACATCTGATGGAATCGGGGGATTGGCAGTTTTTAATATTCTGAGCCAGAGAGCTCTAGGGCCTCCCCAAATTAATAACCCCAAAATTTCTTTTCATAAGAAGCTGCAACAAAATGGAATGGAGTTCTGTGATGGAGGGCAAAGCAGGTTAACTGAAACATTGGCTTGGAGTATTTCACACTGCAAAAGTTTGTTGCTGGTCCTGTTTGTTGCACTCAGTAGAAGCTGTGAAGTGCAACAGTGGAGGAGGGCTTTCCAAGGCATTTGACTGGTCACTGTTGTAATGGGATGCTGGAGTAGATGGGACTTTGTTCTGATGCAAGCCATTCTTTCCTCCTTTCTTCCTTGTGGACAGAATTCTATTACATTTTGCTTACTGCTTCAGCCTCTAGGAAATTGTTTCACAAGTCAGATCTAGTCTAGAAGCCTCAGGTGAACATCTATATTCTAGAACCTAGATTACATCAAATGGATGCTTATTTCTCATAGGAATTGTTGTTGTTTGCCTTCAAGTCATTTCCAAATTGTAGTGACTATAAGGTAAAAGCAAAACTATGCGGGGTTTTCTTGGCATGATTTGTTCAGTGGGGGTTTACCTTTGCCTTCCTCTGAGGCTGAGAGAGCATGACTTGCCCAAGGTCACCCAATGGATTTTCATGGGCAAGTGGGGATTTGAATCCTTGTCTCCAGAATCACAATTCAATGCTCATACCACTATGTTGTTGTTATTGTTGTGTGCCTTCAAGTAATTTCCACATTATGATCACTGTACCATGTTTGATAAAATGTACCACTGGTATTTGAAATAAGATTTAGCTGGCAGTCCAGTCACCCTTTCTACATGATTTGGAGCGAAATGCCATCTTATACTTTTTGTCAGGCCACAACATTTCCTGGGATGGTCTAGGAAAGAGAAGATTTCAATTTGCTCCCCAGGAAGTTGTGGATAAACCCATCTTACAGTAAGATCCATTTACGCTGGAAAGTTTTACAGTAATCCTTGATCCACTGCTTTCAGAGTTTTTCTATTTTCAAAGCCCTATATAGAGTACTTATTGAAACAATTAGTCTTTAAATTAACAAAATGAGGCATAAGGACCATTATTATCTCCAGTTTGGGGCCGTTCATCTTCTGAAGTACAGCCTGAAGCTAGCTAAGCTGGTGAAACTTCAACTCTTTACGTTTTTTGGGGGGATGTTTTGAGATTCTCTATCATATCTGTGTAGTCTTACTGAGTGCTGCAAATTCTGCAAGTTCGGCTAAACGTAACAGAAATCAACATTATGGTTTATGTCTGGCCCTTATGTCAAAGACGCCAGATGCAATCCATCTTCCTGTTTCCTGTACCTCCTACAGATGCTTCAGTTTTGCACAAGCTTCTGGTCTGAACAATTAGAAGACTCTTTTCTTGCTGGCTACAAAATACAAGAAAATCTATAAATTCACAAAGCCTTTATTGGGCCAACTCCAAAGCATAAAATACATTATGCAAACTTTCAAGCGTCACTGGTTTCTTCATCAAACAAATCGTACAGGAGACAAAAGGTGATGATGTTAGAGTTACAGGTCTACATTCTCAAATGTCACCCTGTTGTCAGTTCAGACAACATTGAGGGATTTCAATACAGGAAGAGACCACTCCCTTTCTTGGCTCTGTGATAAAATCAAAGGGCAATAAAAGGCAGATAATAAAATTTTGACTCCATTAACAACAGAAAAGGAGCTTCCCTTGAGATCCAGCTGTCCCTTGACTTCCAGCCAGTTTTGCTGCCTGTTATTCCTCCTCTCTTTCAGCCTTTCCTTTGGGCTACCCTTAAGAGAAGGCAGGCATGAAAATATTTTTGGTATTCTGCCTCAAAAGTTTTCTGGGTGCTGTCTTTATAAAGTGTTATGCTTTGAGGCTGTGAGGTTTTCTGCCCATTAAAAAGAAATGGAAAGGATTATACCATCACTCTTTGTGATCATGTTAGAAAATAGTGTGTAGGCAGCTGCAGCCCTAAAGCCATAGTTCAATCTGTGTTGATTCAGCTAGAAATGGTTTGATGCCTCATGCAGCAGCACCCTCTCTGTGCTTCTTGTTGTTGCTGTGTGTCTTCATGTCATTTCCGACTTAATGGGACCTTAGGATAAACTTAGCATGGAGTTTTCTTGGCAAGATTTGTTCAGAGAGGGTTTGCCTTTGCCTTTCTCTGAGGCTGAGAGAGTGTGACTTGCCAAAGGTCACTCAGTGGGTTTCCATGGCCAAGCAGGGATTTGAACCCTGTTCTCCAAAGTCTTAATCTAACACTCAAACCACTACACATACTGGCTCCCTCTGTATGCTTACTTAGAATTAAGTTGCACAAACTAGTTCCAGCAGTTTTCATCTCCATGAAGAGCAGGTCTTTGATAAATGGTTCTTAATTTCCCATTCAAGACTAGACTTGACTTAAAATACTGTTTATACTTTTTTAAAGAAAGTGACAACAACAACAAATCAATGCAGCTAGGAAGAAGAAGGAAAGGATGGAGGGAATAATTGGCAATGTTGATATAGTAATACAAACATTTTTTGTCAAGTTTTAGCTCTGTTCAGAAATGATTATTGAGTATCCCTTAAACTGCTTACATTGTATTAAAAAGCTGAAATCCAAAATGTTTGTTGATGTGATCGTGGACTACATGATTCTTCTTTAGTTATTGATTAAATAAAGTCAGTCTTTCTGCAGGAGCAGCTTCCCATGTTAAAGATTTAAATCCTCACTGTTTTATCCTTGCATGCAAGGATGAACAACTACAGTAGTTTTTCTCACAATGGCATGAGAAAACAGGTATTTCTCTTCAGTCTCTCCCTGTATTCAATAGGGGAAGTTATTCTGCAGAGAAATACATATTTTGGGCCTGTAAGTTAACATATTTTGATTTGTTCTAGAAATAAACATATTGTTTATATAAAAAAACACATGTCCTCCTCTGAAGAACAGTTACCCCAGAATTCTTCAGGAATGTCTTGCTGCTCAGTTATTTTTCCCAACCAGCTTTCCCAACTGATGGGAAACTCATTTTTGACCAAAAAATAAACAGTGGAGAATATTCTTTCCATCCTTACCTACGTGGTCCAAAACAGTAGAGAATTTTAAAAATCTTTCAATGTTTTTGATATGCTTTAAAATATTTTTGGAAAATACACAGGTATACCTCAGTTAATGAAGTAGATGGGTTCCCAGTTATGAGTTTTTTATCAGAAAATTGGATACCAGAGGCAGAAGACGGATAGGTCCCTACACCATAAAAAATAAGAGAAGTGCAACATGATTCAGCAAACATTTTATCCAACATTAACAAATATACACTTGCAAAATGAAACAACCAGATCAGGTAAGTCTTGCAAAAGTAGGGGAAAACATTTCAAACCTTCTAGAGACCACTTGAAGCATTCCTTCAAAATACACCCAGGGATGACTTTTTTAAAAAATACTAATCTCCAGTTTTCTTACAATTTCCATTTTGATGCTCAAATTTACAAGGCTTTTAAACATGTTGGGGGTAGCTAGTGAGGCACATATACTCAGTGAGGGATTCTGGAAGCAGCTGCTGTTTACCATGCTTGTAGTCAGGCATACACAGCTGCGGCAGGATCAGCTGGAGCAGAATCCAGCTCTCCCAGCTCAAGTTTTGTTTATTGCAGTAACTGCAGGCACGCAACTGCAGCCCATCATGAAAAGTCTAGGTTTTTCCAGCCCTCTTTCACCTTGCTCCCAGTACTGATACTGAAAAAAGAAACATCCAGCTAGACAGAAGATAGGGAGAAATGGGCTGGTAATGAAAAGCCTTTCTAAAAGGAGATTCTTTGTCAGAGGCTTTATAAACTGAGGTATGCCCATATTGTTGGTAAATCAGTTTTCTCTCCAGCTACTGTGAGGATTGCAACTAAACTCTGGGGTTATTCAGATGGTGAAAATAATCCAGGATGAATCCAACTTGAATCTCCACTGTTTACATGCATCCCAAATACACCTGATTGGGGGGGGGGCTTGTCAAAACCCCCACTTATTCTGAGACAAGCGATATCAGGAGTTTTTTAAAAAAAAGATCCATGTCATCGGTAGTGTGAATAACCAATGCAAATATCTGCATGTAGATGCAAAGGAGGACCCCAAGGGTAAAAAGTTTGAGAGCCACTGCACTACACCACTGCTCTCATATTGAAATGTACCTCCAGTACAGATCATCTCATGTTCACTCTGGCTGCATCTGCCCTGCAAAAATAATCCAGTTTGACAGCACTTTAACTGCCCGGGCTCGGTGCTATGGAATTTGGGGAACTGTAGTTTGTTGCAGCACCAGAGCAGAGCTCTGAATTCCATAGCATTGAGCTATGGCAGTTAAAGTGCTGTCAAACCGGATTATTTCTGCAATATGGATGCAGCCTCAGATGCTGAACTGTGATCCTTCACATTCAGGGGAAGAAAACCTTTGCACCAGATTCCTGCAACTGATGGCTACAGTCTGTGAGAACAAACTCACAAAAACTCTTATTTGGTGCTACTCTTCTTTTGCAGAGCAGAAAAATCTAGCTATGGTAGAGGAAAAGAAAAGCTTCATCTGGAGACTAGTACAATATTCCTTGGGTCAAATTAGTTACATTGGGATTCAGTTGAAGTACTTACTGCTGGAATGATCTCTCCCTTCATGAACAATTAGCTTTAAAGGGCAGTTCATATTAATTTTTGTTCATGCCTTCCCTTATTACAGATCACATTGGCAGCCCCTGTGAGAGTGGGAAGCTGGGCTCCATCCCTAATCTCTCCTCATGCCCTCTCCCATCCAGGTTGTAATTTGGAAGAATTATTCTACAAGGTCGTCTTACTGTGCGTCTTTGCCTTCTCTGTATCTTTCCAGGCACCATTCCCCCTCTGGTGTATTTCATTCAATTCCTACAAAATCATTCTCGGTTCACTTCATATTTAGGTTATACGTTTCTGGTGTTATTGGACTGTTGGGCATATAGAAAATCAATTTCCTGTTTTTACACTCCTGACACAACAGGAGGGGATTTTTCCCCCCACCCAGCCTGTTGTGGTGTTATCAATCCAGTCAAATGGCTCTTTGTGCTTGCAGGATTAGCATCCTTCTCAATGTCACTAACTGTGGACTCCTTTCAAACAGCACATCCATGTCACTCTCTATGATTGGTACCCCAGCCAGTCTCTTTCCCCACACCTCAGTGTTTTTATTCTTCTTATAAATACAATGAATGTTTTAACTGGTCCAAATTATATAGCTGCACAAAGGAAGGACATAAGAACAGAGAATCAAAAAGATAGGAATGAAAAGTTGTTTTTTTAAGAGAAAATAGATGGGAAAAGAGAATGATGTGGTAGTACAGGTGGTTCCAGTTTTGGTTCTCTTCTTCTGTGAGGCTGCATCCTCACTGCAGAAATAATCCAGTTTGACACTACTTTAGCTGCCCTGTTATGCTATTGAATCCTTGAAATTTGAGACATTTACCTTTCTCTATCAGAGAGCTCTGGTGCTACAACAAACTACACATCCCAGGATTCCATTGCATGGAGCCAGGCCATTTAAAGTGGTGTTATTTCTGCAGTGTGGATGCTGCCTGAGACAACATATCCTCTGTTGCTAGATTGTAGGGTGAATAATTAGCAAGGAAAATACAATGGATCTGAGCTAAATGTCATAAATAACATCCTACTTAAACCAGGGCTGCACAACTGTCTTTGGTTAGGAGACTCTGGAGAGCCAGCCATACCTGCTGCTATGTCCCTTATATAAATAAATAAATAAATAAATAAATAAATAAATAAATAAATAAATGCCTCCAAATAACCCATAATGGGGGGGGGGATAGGAGACATTTTGCCTCATTTTGAGCCTCCCCTGAACCATTTTAGGTGATGCTCAAGGGATATCTTGTTTAGAACAGGAAATAACACAGAAATCATGGGGGAGGCCCTGGGAGATTTTTTTTTTAAACTCTAGGAACATATGTGGCTCACAGGATGTTTTTTGCCCATTTCTGACTTAAAGTCTATTGTTTGCATCCACTTGATTCCCATCAAATGCAAGTGATGAATCTGCTGTTTGTATAATACACAGTGTATAATAAGGTGGATAGTGGATCTTTGCCATGCTGCAAAATGTCAGCGTTATTTGTTTGAATCTCTGTCTGTCGTCAAAGCTGTACATAGTTGTACTTTCAAGACTCCCTTGAATGTTTAAGCACGAAAGCAGCTTGTCTGAATATTTCATTTTTAGTACAGTTAACCACAGAACATGTAGGCTGCCTTTATATACGGTTTGAGGTGTGCTGCTTAGTATATAATTTCCCTTGTTTAAAGTAGAGACAGCATTTTCCTCCATCTGTTGGATGTATGAGCAGAAATCCACAGATACTTTCATTTGTAATTGGGGGAAAAAGCAGTATTCAGGAGGAGCTAAAAATTAAATCCATAGAGAAGCTATGGATTTTAAAGGCAAGACTCTTTCCATATAATTATGCATTTTCTAATAACTGAAAGAAGATGTCTTAGGACCAAAATTTTCTAATTTTCTAATTGCCCGTTGTTTAGTATGGCCAATACTATAATAAGACAATTATGATAGATGTCCATAGTGAAAGACACTAGATCCAATAGTTAGTTCTAATGTGAGTAGATCTATCAAATCAACTGCTAAATGGTATGATTTGCAACACTTATATAAAATCTCATTGATCTAGTTGTTCTTCTCCACTTGGAACTAGCAACTGGATGTACACCTAGGTTTTGACTTAACATTATTTAAAGAGTATTTTCCCCTTTTGGGACAAATTTGGCAACTATGTATACTATGGAAGGAAGATTCCTTCCTGAAACAAATTGTTTAGGATCCAGGAGCTGCTTTTAAGCCCAGCCAAAGGTTTGGCCTAAATACCCTAAAGGCACCAGATCCTGTCTGATCTTGGAAGCTAAGAAGGTCAGTCTTGGTTAGTGCTTGGATGGGAGACTGCCAGTGAATGACAGATGCTGTAGGCTATATATTTCAGAGGAAGGAACTAGCAAAAACCACCTCTGAGTATTCCTTGCCTAAGAACACCGTATGAAATTCATGTGGTTACCAAAAGTCAACCATCAAATTGCACACACGCACACACACACACATTTGGCCGCGACCGGTGGCATTTAAACTCCTTCTCTACTTGGAACAATTTGGCTCTTTTTCTAAGCCCCACTGCATTCAGCTTTTCAGAGTGGCATGGAGGATGACTGAGCAACAGAAACTCAAAGTCTACTAAATGTAAAGAACTAGTTGCCCAATTTTTTATATCTT